TCTCTCTCTCTCTCTCTCTCTCTCTCTCTCTCTCTCTCTCTCTCTCTCTCTCTCTCTTCTCTTCTTGAAAAATCATAGACGAAGAAAGTTGGCAGGGTCACGGTTTGTCGCGGTCTGGAGGCGCTCAACGTGACACGCTTCATCGCGTCGGTGTCGGCGACCTGTCGGCCGGCTAGTCGTCGTATAAACTGGTCTAAAATTCGTTGTCCCGTTCCTGGATCGACGTTACTTTCAAATCTATCGACAGTTTCATCGAAACTCCTTCGACATCGGACGTCAAAAGAATAAAGTGTTATCGATTCGTCGCGTTCGACAAAAGCCGCTGCAGAGCAAAACTTATACGGCTAATGCTTTTCAGTCGCTTATTTTCAAAAAGGGATCCAGTTTCCTCGACCTCGCATCGTTCTATCAATTTCCGTCATTCGGCGCACGGTGATCGACGCTCGGCGCGCGGCCCTCAAAGAAAACGTTATCGCTCGCCACCCTCGCTATACCCCTGAATCAAATTTATTTTTCTCGCTACGAACTCTATTTATTGTGTCACGGGAGAGGAAATATGGATCACCCGCTATCGTTTCGTGAAAGGTATTCTTCGAATAACCGTGAAAAAAGGTCCGATATCCGATGCACGAACAAACGAAGCAGCTCCGCGCGCCGGTCAGCTCTGGTCGGCAATTACTTTCCTGGGAAAATCTAATTTCCGTGGACGCGGCCGAGGCGCGTTCACGAACGCGTTAAATTATTCCAGCGTTAATTTCGCCGCCTGGAGGCGGTACGGCGCGGCGCAGCGTACGTGGCGCAATGCCGAACACTCGTTAGCCGACGCGAAATTCAAAAGCTCCGACTGATTACGTCGAGGAAACTTTTCGTTGGCGAGTCTGCTTGGAGCCTCCACCAGGCCTGACGACGATTCGCGTTAAAACATATCCCAAATATGTCCAGCGGGTTCCCGATGGTAAGATGGAGAATTCCTTTCTCGGAAACTGCTTTAAGAAAGCAATCGAAGTAATTGGATAGAATTGGATGAACTTTGACTAGACGGACTTCTTTTTACAGATCGAGCAGAGGAAACATAAACGGTGGCAACGGTGACTCCTGATCACCAATTCAAGCGACAAATTTGATCCGATATTCGAGATATTATCCTGCATCGTTCACGCCCGATATGGTAAGCTTTCTTTTAGATATTCTTATATGTCTATATATTTCTGACTTTTATATGTACAGTATATATAATGGTTATATTACCGTTTGTTAGTTTCCCTGTAAGGGGTGGTGCTTCGATTAAGTTTTAGTAAAGATATCTCACGAGAAGTTATCCGAAAGAACTAATCCAGCGATGGATTAGTCGACAGTTTACAGATGACAGATAATTAACAGTTTGCCATCGAATAGTTACTCGGGAACACGGATCATCCGTTTCTACCGATCGCGAATGGAGCCCTCGAAGCTCCAACCTGTACACAGGATACGAAAATAACGTTTCGTCCGAACGACCGATCTAAGAACGTATTATATGTATAATATAACTCTCGACCTTCTGCTAATGGAGAACGAACGGTCACGACTGGGACATACGAAGAGGGCATGTAGCTCGTTCCGCTCGTTTCACGCGCGTATAATTCCATTGTACACATCGGTAATTTCATCGTATGCCCAGCAACACTATATCGGAGTAATAGCAGTGTATTGTCCAAACGCAAGACCCAAGCAAACACAGCGGTGTCCTCAAACGTCGAGCACGTACGTACCTATATCTCCGAGTATACCGAAGATTCAATATTACGTCTGTAATATTTGCTTCGTGCTATCGATAAATTTCAATGTCCTTTGTAATTACACGCGGACACGTTCCAAGTAAACGGGTCGTTTAATTAGTCGCCGACGCTGACGCCTATAGTTGGACAAGAGGACGAAGGTGGAAAAGTTGAAGGGAAGGCATAGCGCGAGGAGGATTTCGCGAACGTTGAAAAAGGGCTTTACAGTGATCGTTTGCTTCGAACGCTCGGGGACGTCGCTCCTTTCTCGAGGATAGAATTGCTCTTTTGAAAAGCGCTCGTTCGAAAGATTTCTGGAAAGTTGATGCGCGGAAATCCCTGTTATCGGAATATGATATATCGTTGAATAAAAGTTGAGCGTCCTCCCGCCTAACTGAAAAGGAATAAAGATTGGCGAGCGACGCGGCGGTGCGCGGTGCAAGGTGGACGGTGCCGTTGAACCGTTCCGATGCACTTTCTGCCACTTTGCATCAGGATTTACCGAACGATAAACACGCTCGACGGAAGCTGTGTCGCGAACCACGGGCTTCTGTACAATGTTTTCTGCGCGACCGTATTAGAGTACGTGTGCGTCCGCGAATCCACGTAGAACGAAACACGGATGCGGTGAAAGATATGATATCACCGACCGCGAAAACATGTAAACTGCACAGTACGCAACTATCGCATCGGCGCGGCGCGGAACCGCGAATGGGGGCCGGTCCGATCGGTTTTATCAGTCGAGCAGCAGATTTCTATTCAAAACGATCAAATACGAGAGTATATCTATCGTACGTACCTATACCTATGCATAAAATCGAGCTGCAGGCGGCACCGACTAAATCCGCTTCCAGAATATCGCCGATTTCCTTTTCTATTTCGGCTCACTTTTTCTTTTCAATCGAATCATTTCAACTATTTCTTCCTCGAGTATTTTCACACCTCAGACTTCTCGGTTCAGATCACCTGTTCTGCCGTTTATCTTTCTCTGCCTGCCTGTCTTATCGCTTCTCTGACCATTTTCTTAGCTATATTTTCAAACGATTTTTTATAAAGTCGACCAGATATCCTTTCAAATTTGTCCAAAGATCGATATATTGCAGGTTCGCGTTACATCGGATTTCATTTTTCGTATACCTGTTCGCTTGCACTATACATATACCGCGTATATGTATATACTCGTTGGCTACTCGTTCCGTAGGAACGTACGGCTAAAGAATGTTCTCTATTTAGAATTTCGAAGCTCGACTACTCCGCTCAAGGAATCGATAAGAATTTCTATCGCGAGAGTGAAATCCAACGAGACGCAATTCAGTATTTTTCTCGAGCGTAGGTTTTCTCTTTCTCGTTTTGTCGGAACTAGAGTGAGACACCAACATCCCCGCACCCAAAGTGAACTGCGAAACCGCAATACCGCAGCGGCAAGTGCATGATCCCCTGGTGGTTGAATAGCACGGCGAAGACGATACGTGCAAGAAAAGGGAAACAAGGTAGTTAATTCTATGCACCGCTGGAACTGCCGTGTCGTGCATTCGAAACAGAACCGCTTCGTTTGTTCCGACACGCGTGCAGAGCTTATCGACTCTCGAACATGCTGAGTAAACGATTTTACAATAACGATGTTCCGTGTTGCCTACCTTATCCGGCATCCGCTACTTTAACTATAAAATTGTTCGAAACACTTGGCGATCCATTGGATCGCGAAGCCAAATGAAACACTTAAACTCTCGATAAAGTCTATCGAAATAGGAAAAGGTGCTCGTTAATTCAAGTACATATACGTTTCGCGGAACGACAAGCACACCGACCGAAAGGCATAACGGTCGCTGGTCGAGTTTTACAATCGTCGCTTGATACCGAGCTCGGCGTCGGCGTCGTTACAAGTAAGAAAAGCATTTAATTGATAGAGGAACGCGGCCAAGTTTACGATTCGTTCGGGGTAGTTTATCGTCCGGCGGTGTTTTTTCATTAACCCGTAGTCCGTAGCGCCGAATTTTACGGTGGCTTCGTAAAAGAAAAGCGGTAAATTTTCTACGAGTAGAAAAACACAGCCTGTACGCGACGTATCTTTTCCACGGAATATTTCAAAGACATCATTTTGGAAAGGTCGTTTTGTACCGTGAACTACGGTTCGATCGCGATCTCTGTCGTTCGTCGGGTATCCGACTTGAATTTCTCCGAGTAATAAGCAGAGAATTTGGAGCGACTACGGTCGACCGTAATGAGGCGAATTCTGATCTTGGCCGTTGTAATTAGAGGAAAATTGCCGGGGCAACGCGGATGCTGCGTCGACGCATACTCGTACACGTACACACGTGTCGCGCAAACGGGCACAGCCGCGAAATGAAGTACGCCGAGCAAACTGAATTACCGCAGAAGCGATAACGGCCGCGACCGTGCCGTACCGAGCCGGGCCGGGCCGGGCCTCTGAACGATCCTCGATCGGTTATGCTCGTGGACGAATATACGCGCCGCGCCGCGCCGGATGGGCGTCGGCGTCCCATCGTTAGGCCACTTACAGCCCGTTATTGTAACTGCCGCTCCGCGTGGCGCCGGCTGTGTACTCGATTAATTCGCGATAATCCTGATCGTTAATTGCGCGCTTCCGATCGGGCCACGTCCGCGATACCCATCGTTTCGTTCTCGTAGCAACGCGAATCGTGTTGCGACAGAAATTAGTCGGCTTATCTTGTTGGCTCGAAGAACATCGACGGTGCGTTGTCAGTTGAACGTTAATCGTGTTTCCGTTCCTAGACGGAACACGCGATTCGCGGAATTTTACAATTTACGCGAACAATCGAATCGCCAGAAACATCGATCGCAACGACTCTTTCTATACTTTAAGGTTATAGAAAAATGAGAAATTTAAAATTATTGGAAGCGTTACTAAATCACTCGTAATTTTCCATCTTGTAATTCAAAGAGGATCTTGAAGCGAGTTTACATTGACATATCAAGTACCGGGAAATGTAATTTCGTTTGACTCGACGTCGCACGTCTGGAAACGTGCGAGTGGGAGAGAGACTCCTCGAACTCGCAGTAGTTAAACTTGTCGCGTTGCGCATCAGTACCCGACGAAAGCACTCGCGAGTTACTAATCCCTTCGAAGCCGACGTTGAGCTTCGGTGTTGTAGATCGCTTCGTGTCCCATGCTGGAATCCTCCGTTTAGAATTTTTTCAATCATCTCCAAAGATTAAGCGGCAGTTCTCGCGTTCTCATGATTCCTCCGAGGTTCGCGTATGGTCAGAACACGACACGATCGGTCTTTCGATTTCTCGAGCGTTATTTCGTACAAAAACGGAATAGCTGCGCGCGATATTTTTAAACCTCTCGAAGCTTGGCTTGATCGCTCGCACGTCTAATAGTCGATCTCGGCGAGGCTTCGCGACGCGACGAAGGAGAACGGAGACGATAGGCGGTGATTCGATGCTGTAAATGGGTAATTCAAAAGTAAAAGACGAGGACCAACCACGGCCTCGTTTGCCGCGATGAAAGTGGGAATCTGAAACAGGTATCTGGATACGAGGGACGGTGATTGTCTAGCCTTGGGCTGCGTTTGTGCCTTTTCAGGAACGCCCTTTAATTTCCGGGACAATGCCGAGAAACGGATAATCCCGCGATAGGGTAGCGTCGCGTCGCGTCTCGACGAACATCTCCGATAAAAGGATATTTAAGTATGCGTGTTAAAAGTTTGCCGCGAAAGTGGAAAACCATCCGAACGTTCGGATTAATTCGTCAAAGATGAAAACGTTCCGGCACCTCTTTTCGCAAACTCGTTTACGATTCTCGGACCTTTGAACTTTGTTTCCTATCTGTGTTGCGTTTTGTTCGCCGCTAAAAATGCCAATAGTTTTGAACGTGTAACGATCCTAACAGAAAATTCTATTAAACAATGTACACCCCGTGTATTTACTATCTCGTTGCAATAGAATCGGCCAAGTTATTTCCGCGGTTTAATAACATCGATAGGATTCGAAAAAATATTGATCGATCAACCAAACGATTCGCGACGATCCCGATGGAGCATCGAATCCCCATGCAAATGTAAATTTTTCGCGTCGCTTTCGAAATATCGACGCAAATTGCGCTCGCACCGCAACTTTTCCACAGATTTATAACCTCGTTTTTAAATCGAAACAAGATTTAGGTATTCCCTCAGTATCCCTTCTCTATTTAATCCGATAACAAAATCATAGCTCGAGATACGTTTCGGTTATTACCAGGGTATATTCGTAGAGCGATCGTTTAAAGAATCGGGAAACTAGCGTATCGCGATATCGTAAATAGTATAAAAGAAATAACAGATCCGGGTTATGTATCTACGAAAACGTCCAAATCGAAAGTTTTCGCCAGAGTCTGAATTTGAAATAGGATCGATTTAAATAATGCTTTTCTCAATTTTCTTCGCAT